TAGAAACAATAGATAACTATACAATCTTCCATATCCATAAGCTCCCCACTAGCAGTGGTTGCCGTGTTGGTTTGAGAAGCCTGAGAAGGCTTGAGCCTTATGCTTTTTTATTGTTAGTCTAGATTTAATACAAATTTAATTACATGACATCCAAACTAATTGATACAACTAAGCTTCAAATAAGCTTTGTTTTTTAAAACCTACTTAAAAAAATATTTTTTAGTTGTGCTTTTCAATTTTTTTTGATAGTCACTCTATTCATTCTCATAAAAAAACATTTTATTGATTATTCTCTCAGGTGTAATCCTGGATACTATGCTGAGAAAGAGGTGTGTAGAGATGTACACAAGGCTGGTCAGCCGTGTTCTGGCCGTGGCCAATGTGTCAGTGGGGCAGAGTGTAGCACTGAGCTAGGTTGGGTGTGTACATGTGGAGCGCAGTATTACCAAGATGACTATGGAGTTTGCTACTTATGTGAGTTATCTGTTGATTTGACTTAGAACTATATGCATTAAGCATTATTTCTTTACATCTAGTAAAGTATCAAGTTTCCCTTTCAGACCTTGTGGTCTATAGGGCAGATGATGTAAAGGTCATCTGTTTCTGTGGTCTACGGTTAACAATGGTGTCATGTGGTTAGCACAATGATCAACCGTCAGATACCTATTAGAGTTGGGTAGACTCAGAGGCGGCCAAAGATCCCGCAATTAAATACCCCAGTCTTCACCAGGATTCAAACCCAGGACCCCCGGTTCAGAAGCCAAGCGCTTTACCACTCAGCCGCCATGCCTCCTTCTTTACATCAAGCCCTTGGTATATTTCTTGATTTATGAAGCATGATGAATGTATTTTGAAAAAAAAACAGTTTTATGATTTAATTCTTGTCTTGGCTGGAATTATGTATTGGCAACTTGATGCTACCTGTAATAGTCTTTGTGCTTAAATCTTTGTGCCATGTTAGATTAAAAAATGGTATCTGTTGACATTTTTTTAAATATAAAAATTATTACCCTCTGTATAAGCTTTGGTTGCAAATATTGGTTACTTAGCATCTTCCATTTTGTCTCTGCTGTTGATGAATGGTGAAGGAGGCATTTAGATAATAAAATAAAAAGTAAAGTTCCCCTTTCAGACCTTGCAATCTACAGGGCAGATGATGTAAAAGTCATCTGTTTCTGTGGCCCACAGTCAATGAGGATGCTATGTGGCCAGCACATCAACCAACCACTTTTACTTTTCCCCAAGTAATGTCAGATACCCATTAGAGCTGGGTGGGCTCAGAGGTGCTCTAAATAATATTGAAATAAACAAAATCTCAGTCTTCACCAGGAAGCCAAATTCTTTACCACTCAGCCTCCATGTAGATAGTATAACCTATAGGTATAGCATCTGGTGCTTCAAAGAGCTAGTCATGCTTCCACTGTTATGGATTCCTTGCTTTTATTTTGTTTCTTTTATAACTATCATCTTAAGATTTTTTTTAGTTCTGTAGAACATAACAAAGAATCTTGGTCATTAATACATTTTTAAATATATATTTATGACCCACCAGACAAACTTGATGGTACACCCTGCAACTCTACAAAAGAGTGCACAAAAAATGCAGACTGTAAAGATGATGCAAACAACATCGAAGACAAACCTAACAAGAATGAGATACTTTGTCGGTGTCATACAAAATTTGTCAGTTCAGATGGATATTGTGTCCGTAAGTGAAATAGTTTAGTGTAAAAATAAAATTCTTTCATATCACAATTCTTCTAGCAGCTGTTTTATTTTTATTTAAGACAGAGGTTGTGCAAAGATGTTTGATAATTTAAAAAGGTGGTCGAATGGGGACCTCTAAACAGCAAACTTTTAATGCTGTTAAGCTATAGTGAATCAGATACTTAGCAAATAGCACTGAAGAAAATTTTTGTACCACTAAGATGTCTATTCCTGTACTTAACACAAGGTCAATTCACTAAAAACATTCTTTTTTTAATAACTATTGTAATGATTGTGACTTTAGTATTTGGACTGGATTACCTCCCTATTAATAAGTATAGTGGAACATCATTAAATCTTTTTTTTTTCAAATGGACAATGGCTTATGAAGTCTTTATCTTATCAATTTTACTGTTATCTTTTTCTACACTTAAATATATTAAGTTTAGGGTTCTATGGATCTCACCAATTATCTAGATGCAGCTGCAATATCTCCACTTGATGTACAATCCACTAATTTAGTTAGATAATCGCATAACAGAATTAACTTGAACAATAATCCAGTGAATTCACAGATAATCCAATAACTTCTCAATATCTCAATACTTTTTTTCATTTCAAAGAAATCTCCACTCCACATTCCACATGTGCAATTTATTCACACACCCATGCAAAGTAATGAAAAAAATCATGTCATTATACTGAGTATAATAAAGGGAGGCTGCTAATGGGCTCTAAAATATTAATCATGGGGACATAGCAGGCTTATAAAAAAAACAATGCGATGTTAGTATGTTCAGTTTAGATGTCTCAAGATATTTTTACCAAGCTTATATCAACTCTTTGTCTGTTCTGTCCTGTCCTGGCTGGCTGGCCAGCCAAAAGTTTGTACACATTATTTCTCTGACACCCAATCTTGGATCAAGCTGAAATTTTCCACAATTTTTTCTTTAACAGACAACACAAGTATCAAAAAAAAAAATTAAACAATTACTTAATTAACTAATGGTAATAAATTATTTTATTTTATCACAAACAAGGGAAAGAAATAGTTCTTGAATGAAGTGATGGTATAAGCTGAATTAGTGCCCTTTATATTAGGTAGTCATCTGAGATTTAGTGAACACAAACATGAACTATACCATCTTAAATGTTCATAGACTCTTCGCTAGCAGAGTGCAAGCCTGTGCAGGCTTTAGCACAGTTTCGAATTCAGGTCATTCTCTTTTTTTAAAAAATACATTTAAAAAGAGATCACCCATATACCCCGTTCTTTCTACCCCTTTCCAACTGGCCCAGGCCAGGATCATAGTGTTTTGAGAACGCTAAAAGCATGAAATTGCGCAAAAAAAAAACAAATTGGTAAAAAATATTTCTAATCACACAGATTTAATATTGTTAGATCTAGATCTATTACAACTTTAATTTGACTGATCCAAACTAATTGATACACTTAATATAAGCTTTGTTATTTTAAAAAGTATTTTTTGTTGCTAGTTTCATGTTCTGATTAGTTTGATAATAAATGTGGATGTAATAAGCTTGTTTGACCTTTCTTCAGTTGATCCTGACCTCATAGAGGATTCATCAGTGCCGACAGTGGTTTTAATTTCAGCTATAATAGCAGCCCTGCTCTTCCTTCTTTGTTATTTTGCTTTATTCCTTATTTTGTTCAGGAGAAGGAAGCAGAAGTAAGTCTCTTTATCTATGTTGATTTAAAGTTACAATTATGGTAACAATACAGTGCCTACTGTCTGGTATGTGCATGGCTAGGAGAGAAAGGGGGAACAGGGGAACAGGAGAGGTGTTAGTCAGCCAGCCTTTGTACCTCATTATAGGCCAGTCTTTGTAACATATGTGATATGCCTTGCCCTTGTAGTTGTTGATAGCTGTTAGACTTCGACAGATTACTCTGGAGATGTCTGGGTTTCTTGTACGGCTGTATTTGATGTACTTAACTAACAAGTATCAAGACCTACACATGTAACAATAAGTAGAAAAAGACATAAGTCCAAATAAGGATACAGATAAGGTTTAATATTGAAATTGCCACAGTCGAGTCTCTGTCTATAATATCACGTTATCCCTAAGAATGTAAACATAGAGTTGAAGCTAGGTGCTGAAACAAATGATACATTAAACATAAATGAATAACAGCACCAGGGACCACGTTTTTAAGAGAGAAAGTAGTGAATTAAAATGCTACGAAAATAAGGGCATGCGCCGACCGAGGCTCAAACATGTGACTCCGGATTCGACACCACCGCCTAGCAATAACACACCAAGCGAAACTAATCTCTAGACCATCGGAATGTCCAAAAAAACATTCTTCTGATCCAGAGTCATTTCGCCTGAGTGCAAATTACCACCTCAGTGGTCAAAGGTCACAAGCCCCAGCTAGCTCCTCCCCCACCCTCGCAGCATCCGTTCACTAACAACTTCGATAGAGCCGACACAGACAGCCGTTACTATATTTACATCAATAATCTATAGCCCAACTATGTCGTGATGCCACTAATGGTCCATCGACTATGATGTGTTTCTATACAAACTAATAAAACTAAGTCTCTCACACATACCATATACAATGCACACATTCGAAATGTAGTGCTAGAAATCAATGGATAGTGCATAAGAAGGATTAACCAATGGCTTGTTACTGAAATGTGAAAAGGCTTTAAAAAAAAAAATTAAAATCAAGAAGAGCATTAAATTATCAAATTATCTGGATTTCGCTGTATCACAATGTTTCAATAAATGTTTATTTTCTACCTTTAACAGGCGAAAGGCAGCAGAAGAATCCCTGAGCACAATCTCTGACAGCGGAAGCATGATTAGCTCTTTGAAGCCTCCGAGGCCGTACTTAGGTTATGCTGTCCCATTCTACATGCCTCCACCACCATCCATCAACAGTGGGGGCAATGGGAAGTCCCCCGTGTCAGACCTGACCATGGAGTTTTACAAAACCAAGAAAGGGGCAGCTGGTGGCAAAAGCCAGGATGTTATAAGTGCGTCTATGAATTTGGATGAGGAAGATTTATAGGAACTTTGTTGTAAAGGTTGATTGTATCCTATTTATATTTTACACTTTTTGACACCCATAAGCTAATGGGGTGCAAATTTAATTTGCTATATTTACTAGAGCCAAGACAGTGAGTGGACAAGTACTTTGGCTTCCAAATCAAAAGATCTCAAGTTAGAATGTTGATGAATGTTGGAGATAAAATTCTGGGTTTTAAAGAGCCATTGAGCCCTCTCAGCTGTCATGAAAATGTCAAATTTTGTTTGGGGGGGGGGGGGGGGGGGGAATAAAATCAATTAATCATTTGTTATGATAGACACATGAAATTCATTAATTGTCTTAGAAACCTCTCTTTACTTCATGTACTGACACTGACTGCTGGATCTCAAATGAAAAATTTAGTTAAAACAAAAAAACAAACTATTAAGATAAACAAGAGAGTTTTTCATCGAAAAAACATGTTTTTCATCTTGTATTATAACTACATCGTTTCAAGATATAAAAAAAATGTATGTATATATACTAAGTTGTAAACATGTTCTTTATATATATTTTTTATACATATAATATATTTTAGTCTAAATGTGAATGATGTGTTAAAATGTTTAATACTTTTGTTACGAATTAAAATGACTGTGTTTATATTATTGATGAACATAAATTACTCATTTATTTATTAATTTCTTTTTTTATATAAAAAGACATTTTGCAATAAAATAAATGCTTTGTTTTGATGTACTAATATTCATTATTACGAATTGATCAATATGAAATGGTCATATACAGTTTTCACATTTAATTCTTATTTTTGTTTTTATTAATTCTGTTATTTTATTTATCATTTTCTAAGACTATGAAAAGCACAATATATGTTAACTAATCTGTTCCAAATGTAAAATTTTTATTATTGTACTTGAGATAAATCTTCATTTCTGTACATGTTAATTCTTATGATGACCACTATAAACTTGTGCCTGTGTACAGTTAAACCTGAGTTTCACCTTGCATCATAGTCAGCACTAAAAGGCTTGGTACTACCTCTTTGTAAGTTAGTCATACTCTAAAGAAAAGTATGGACAAGAAAAACAAATGAAGTGTGAAGTGAATGTTTGAAATATGTTACATTTCATAAATAGGAGTTCATCTTGAAATAGTTCTTGGACGGAATGCTCAATAAAATGTCTTCAATTTGTCTTTGGAGTTTGGATCATTTGAAACTAGTTAAATTCTGGAACATTTGACAAAAGTCAAATCCTTTAAATGTTTTTGTTGAAATTTTTGGAGTTCCAACTTTTGTGTATGCTTGTTGCAAAGAGTCTCTAACATATCAACACTTTAAGCTAAGCTGTGCAAGAAGCCAGAAGTGGATTGGCTAGAAAGTTTACTACTTTAGTGATTCAGTTGCTACTGTTTAGATAAATGTAAAAAAAAAAATCCTATATGCTTTATACTGGAAAAAAGGAACAAAAAATTATATATGCTTCTTTTAAAGGTACCTGTGAAACTTTTTTTTTTTTTTTTTTTACAAAGCCTTTATCAACTCAATTTGCATGGGAGGATACTTCTACACATTTTTTTCTCCCATTCTCTGATCAAGATGAAATTTCGCAAAATTTTTCATTGTCAAAGATAACACATGAATTAATAATAAAAAAAAACAACCAATTAAATAATCAATTATTGACAATTAATTCATTGTTTTATATAGAAAAGGGGGAGATAAACCTTCAATATTGAGAGATAAAGCAGCAGTTATTGGAGGGTCCTCTCCCTTTAATCAATACAAGCTTTGTTTTTATAAAAGTTTTTTTTTTAAATTTATATTCTTAAAATATGTCATTGGTAAGGGCTATGAGTGTTGATAAATGTAGATGTTGGCCTGAGTTTGTAAATACAACCAACAACAGAACAGTTAGATAAACTGAATAACTCCTGCTGGTAACTTCAAAACAATTGATCCATAATACATCCTCCGTTGATTCCATATTTCTGTTCTTTCTTTTTAATGATTTGTCACGTCACTACGGAAAAACCCAATTAAACCCAAACTTCTATGCATCTTTCTATTGTGTCATTACAGACTATCATACAGGTTTTTTCATACAAATTTTTTTCAGTTGCCTCTTAGCTGAAGAACATGTTAAGCCTTGCTGGGATTATATGTGATGGTTTAGAATTAGATATTTTTAAATCAGCAATTTCAAAGATCTACAATAAACAAGGAGACTTACCATTGCAAGTCAGTTACACATTTACAATGTAACATCCATGTTTTTAAACACTCCCAATGACATTGAATACAAAAACAAAACACATTGATATATATTTGTATTTATTGGCACTTAACAGGTCAGCAGCGTAGAATAACTCAACTACTTAACATACAACTCATTACATTTGTGATAATCTTTAGCGCACAAAAAAATAGCTAGTTTAGAACAGCTTTGAATTCTTTGTACAGTGAAATATTTTGTTTGATAGATCTGATTTTGATTACAACTTGGAATTATAGAATTAAAAAAAAAAAAGCAGTGTTTTGTTTTAGCTCTCTTTGACCTAAGCAAAAAAAAAAAAAAAACCAACAAAAAACAGCAATGAATACAACAATGCACAAACTGTATGTTCCTACTCATAAAGTTGAGACAGATGTTAACGATCAAATGCAGTTTCTTGTTTTCAACACGAATTCAGCTATTTTGACTTGAATTCAGGTAACAATAGCTTTTTAGGCTAGATATGTTTAGCTAGAGTAGTTTTGGTCAAGCTTAAAAACAAAAAACCTTTGACAATGTAAAACACTACCCTATATAAAAGTATATATATCAAGTATAACACTACCCTATATCAAAGATTTGTGATGAAATAATACCATGCCCAACATTTTCTTGTGCCAACTACAGAGCATCACTAAATCTAAATGAATTTAAAGATTGTTCTTGTGTTGTGTCAGTACCCTTTTAGGCCATCTGCTTTAAGTATCCATTAAAAAAGTGTTTTCTATAATAAAACCTTAACTATATGAAATTGTACCCAGAACATCAAGTTGTGTACATATTATTTTTTTAATATTACACAAAAAAAAAGAGCAATATTTGTGTAAGTTATCCACAGCTCACAAGAAAAGAAAAATAAATAGACATTTTACAATTGAATCAGTAGAGAATAAGACAAGCATGGAGGAACAAAAAGACATAGCTACATCAGTACATTATGAAAGATCAAATACTATTAGAATATCAAAGGACATCAGTTCAAATATAGGAATTTTTATTTTTCAATGGCACAATAATTAATTCCAGAATTATTTGACAAAATGATTTAGTAAAAAGGAGGACATTGACTTAGCTGATGTATCTAAGTTGTTATGTCAGCACACTTACAGTAGCCTGCTATTTATTAGCTAAAGTTACTGAGGATTTACCTTAAGAAGAGATGGTAGGACAATGGGCAGTAACACTTCCTGTATGCTAAGGCTTTAATGGGAAGAAAGTTACTCCAACAATGGGCATTACAAGGTGTACCTCAAACCCTTAATAATAGCAAACCATCATAATATTATAACAGAAGGGCCTAGTATAGAACAGAACAGTTTTTCCCAAACTTTTCCCCAAACGGAACACTTCGCACGTTCTAAGAATTAAGCAAAAAAAAATTTGCTTATTTTTTTTTAGAGAGGCTAACTCACTTTGTGGCCTTCTAGTTAATTATTCCAGCAAATCATGGTACACCTATTCAGGCCTTCTTGCAGAACACTAAAGTTCCATGGAGCACAGTTTGGGAAACTAGTGTAGAATTACAGCTCCCAACATTTAACAAGCAGAAAGAGGTAAAAAAAATGATTGACTAGAAATGGAAGACACTATGAAGTCTAAATATAGGTGCTGAGTGATCTGTGAACTGCATTATGGGATATCTTATAAATAGATTTAAAAGCGGAAGTATAAAGCTGTTTCTAAACAATTCAACAATTTAAACAAAATTTTGCAAAAAATTAGAACCATCATCTGCTGTTCAACATTTATTAGTTGGTAAAAGAGGCTGGGTTGAGGGGAAGGTTGCTTACCTATCAAGTTGCAAATGCAGTTCACAGATTCTCAATGAGGCAAAATGTACAGAGATCACAGAAGAAAGTTTGAAGTACCAGGTGCAACAGTCGAAATAGAGATAAATCTCAATACCATTAAACACATAGAAAAAATATTTTCTTTTATATAGAACTTCTGAGGGTTGGTTAAGTAGAGAACAGAAGGATATATATTACAAAATATCTCAAGGCACTAGCATTACCACAAAGTAGACCCAATAATGTTCCAATGCTTTCAAAAAGCAACAGGGAATACGTGAAAGATCAGATGACAGGATTCTCATACATAACAACAACAAATGTTATACCAAGTTAATCCAAGACTTCAGAAGATCACCAATATTGGAAGAATTTCTTCTTTTCCTTCCTTTAGTTATGATATGATTGATAACATAAGAATTACTTCTGCTTTAAATGTAAGATTTTTAAAAATTCCTCTCTTAAATGAGGAGGAAAAAAAAAGGTGTCATAATACAAAAATTGGTAAATATGCCAGTAATAAAAATTCAACTCAAAATTCACAAAGCTACATAGATAATGGTTAATGACCAAGAAATAGTCATTGAACATACTAGAAATAAAAAAAAATATTTGAATATTTAAAAAAAAATTAATACCAATGTGGTATTTTTTTTTATTGCTCTGTACTACACTGCATGTCCTCTAAACATTATCCAAAAATCTGATGCCCAAAGACATGTTGGTTCTCAAAACATCCACATCAATCCAGTTCATATATTACTTTGAATGAAGCCAAGGAAGTGTTAATAAAATAATGGACAGCAAATAAAAATATAAAAAGACATGAATTATAAAAACACCTGCCAACACGCAGGCCATCATCAAACATGACAAAATAATGGACAAAAGTTACACCGAGAAAAAAACAAATGATGCACTTTCTTCCCCACCCACAGGATTGGTCGATACAGTCAAAAGATTTCTAGGTCCACTTTAAACTATAACACCTAGTTATAGGCACACAAATGAGAAATGTGGTTCAGGTCACATGATACTCAGATTTATAACCCTACTAATTGTACAAGGAAATGTTTTTTTAAAGAAACATAATTATCCACTAGCTAAAACATAGTTCAACCTAATCAATTTTCATAAATCAGAACGGCACAAATTAGAAGATTTCTGTAGACAACTCATAATAAAAACAAGTTGAATGTGTTTAAATGTCTGCTTAACCACAGAGAAGTTTTAGATATTGAGCCAAAGTGTGGCGACCTGACCAAACTAAAATTCAAATGACCCTCCCCTAATGTAACATTACCTGTCAAAGAACCACTTAAATTGTAAGCATGTAGAACCAGACAGCAGTTTTTTTAATTCATACAAAAAGACAAAGCAACACAGAAATAAACACTTAGAACTGGAATACAAAAGATGACATTTTACATTCATTTGTAATGAGAACTGATTAACAAATGTTTAGGGAAGAAAAAAAGTGGCCAGCTTTCCTCTTATTGGGCATACATCTAAAAATAGCCCTCAGCTATGCATCCTTGTCAACACCAAGCAAGCCACACACACACACACATACTTATAATTATATGTATACAAAGAAATCACTGGGGATATTGTGTTGAGCTGACCAATTCAGAGATAAGCTTCTAACACATTCTGCTGTTAGGTAGTTTTATTTACATGGACCAGAGATATTCAAGTTGTACACAACATTTAATTGGAGTCACTTTATCAAATTTTATAGAATTCTTTCAGATAAACCCCCCAAAAAAATCAGTCATTGCACACAAAACAAGTTTTATTGAACAAAGGTGAAGTGTGGTTTCTCCTTGAAACTGAAAATATGACCAAAAAAAATTATAATGAGCTCTAAGCTGTCGCGTTCCTCATTTCAGTATTAGGGATGTGCACGGAAGCATCAACAATGATGTACAAAGCATAGACCCTTGTGATAATATTTCTAATTAGATAGATCATAGAAACACACAAAATGGAGTAACATTAGCATGATGAATTAAGGAAATAAAACATTGCACTAATGTAAAGCCAATGATGAAGTCCAAAAACACATTGCAACGTACATCATACTCTGAAAGGAAAATACAAGGCCACTTTGGACAATATGTTTACCTGAAGTGGACCGTAATAAACACAGTATAAATAAAAAGTTTTTCATTGACATCAATAATTTTTACCTTTAAAAACAAATAGACAAGATGATTGCAAGGCCTTCACCTTTGCATTCACATCCTCATGCTTTCAACCAATTATACATTAATCTTTCAGCCTGTCACATTCACAAAAAAAAATAAACATCAATGTATAATGTATTAGAATAAAGCTTTGATTCCCGAATTATAAGCCAAAGTACATCAACAACAAAAAAGATTTTTTCTTTTTTAATTGTATACACACACACACACAAAATGCTGTAAAAATGTTGTCATGGAGTACATGCTTAAGTAAGACAAAAATATTGTATCAAAGTAAAAATGTATAACTCAATAAATATATATGAGCTTTTAACAATAAATTCCTACCTTAACTAAAAAAAAAAAAAAGAATAGTGAGCTTGGTCACAACGAAATGACAATAACTCTTAGGGCAATTATTGTTTACATTATACATAAAAAAAAAACAACTAATGGTTTGTAAAGTAAATATGTTTAGAAAGATTTTTATTGAAAATGTCAAAAAAAAAAAAAAAAGGTTTAAAAAATGTACAATATTTTAATTTGACAATTATTGTTGCTGAAAGCTTTACGGATCAGAGACTACAGATTATAGTCTAGACTACAGATAACATAAATGTAAACAAATAATTTGAGAACTAAACTGAAGATTAAGATGACAAATACAAAGAAAGAAAAAGATAAAAATATTTCTTGTATAAAATGCATTAATTAACACTTATTAAGAAAAAAACTCATGAAGGTTGTTAAAAATATAAAGATGATGCAGGCACTGCAATGGTGGATAAAGAATCATCTTATGGACTTTGTAATAACAGTAAAACACCAAAAGTTTTTATTTTTATCATTTTTTATTACAAATACATTGGAAAGCCATAGGTGGCATTGACATGGCTTAAAGAAATGCCCTCAAGAATGCAGACACAAGAATGCATATTACTTTTTCATATGTACAAGAAGGACTACAATGGTGTCCCCCCCCCCTGATATTATCCTTACTAAACAGAGTTCTCATCCAACTCATTGAAATTTTACAGATGAGTACGATTGGAAAGGCAGCAATGTCAAATGAAGAGTGTCTAATGAATCTTTTGTTTCCTCTTAGCCCCGCTGAAGGCAACATTTCTAAGATGAATATGGTTACAGTGGGTCATCCAAGCAAGCTCTACACCAAAAATAATTTGAACAAAGTATGATGATACGAATGGCAATATGAGGAAAAAATGACAAACTAACACCGCAATCAAGTAGTGCCATGGAATCATGAGCTTAATAAATATATATTGTCTCAATCTAACCATCAACAGAGCAGCTGGAATGAAAACTTTTCCTCATCGAACAAAACTATGAAACCATAAAACAAAGATTTTAAGTTAAAAAAAAAAAAAAACTTGTCTCGACTGATCTTGTTGATGCACGGATAACACTGTAGAGCCTTAACTTGACAGCCAAATAAAAACAAAAATCATTTAAATGAACCAATCCTTAATATAGACCATACATCACAAATCTATGCTTTCATTGTACTCAATTCTCAAATTTAGTACTAAATAAAATGTAATCTTTTTTATTCTTTCAATGGCTAAACTT